CCTGTGGAACACAAAGCAAATGAAAACTGCATTCAGCCAAGCACATTCTCTGCAGATGAGGCAGCGCTCATCACGGAGGGCACCCGAGCAATGTGGCCAAAGAGCCTCTTTGCAGAAAACAGCAAGGGAGCAAAAGATGAGACAAAAGTCACCCTTTACCTGGCACTTCAGGAAGGAGAAGTCTTCAGATTCACAGACAGCAGACCTTTACTGCCCCGTATGAATGTGCTGAGCACAAATATAGAGAGGGGGGGAAAAAGGAAGACCAGCAGACCCAAACAGGGCACGTGCCTCCATACACGTGTACTCCTCGTAACACAGGAATTTGTATTTGCACAGCTCTACCTCTGAGCCCCAGGAGATCTTCCCCATCTAACTTTGGACCTTAACAGCGTGTTTTAGTGCACCACAACCTCTGCAGAACCCAAGAATTGATGGATTCCATGAGAAGCAAGGAAAGGATTTTCATGTTCACTCTACGATTCAAGGAACTGAAGCGCCACAAGGCACAGGGATTTTCTGCTAAGCACAGGAACTCTGCAGGAGAGCAGGTAACTGAGATTTCCTGAGACCCAGCTTAGAACCACAAGCACATGAACTATCTTGCCTCACTCCTGCCTACAATACAGCTTTCTCAGAAATACATACATACATACCTGAGTACAAAATCAGATGCAAATCCCTTGCTCTACAGAACTCTGGAATTAGCATGGGGGAAGAGAAGAATACTCTTGAGCTGCAAATGAATAGAAATCAAGCTAATGTACAGCATATATTGCTGATCTCTCATGCTTGAGTTTAAGCTCTGAAATATTAACCACAGTCATTACAGAAGGCTCTCTTTTGACAGTGTGTCTTATGGTTCATTTACCAAGAGAAAATGGGTGCAATTTTAGCCAGTGTTAAAATTAATCTGCTTTTATCAGAGAAAGGAAACTAATCCCACTTTACCAGCTCTTTTGCACTGTGAGGGGAGACTAACAAATACAGAACAATTTAAATAACCAGGCTTCTTTGGTGAATCTGGGATTCTGTAGGTTTTCACTCATCTAGGTTGATAAAAATATTCTCTGAGAGCAAGACCAACCACTTCACCCAGACAAGCACAATTCCTACAAGGCCAAGCACAGTGCTGACCCTGATCTGTCTCAAATTGGGTGCCTACAAGACTTGTGATTTTTTTCTTTGGGGAAGGTCAGTTCTCAGAAGCCAATCAAATCTGTGATATCTGGGAAGAATAAAGGCAGCAGTAACAACCTAACTGTGCACTCAGTATCATCCACACACAGTGCCCAGAGTCACAGGCAAACAGCTTTATAAATAATCTTTTCACACACACTGAGTTCACCCAAACTTCTCTCTTAGCTCTTAAATTCCTCCTCCAGCCCTGCTTAAGGAAGAACCCAAAATTTCAACTGCTGCATGCCCCCATGCCAGAAAAGGTTTCCTGGGGAAAGAGGAGAAAGACAGGAGAGCCATGAGGAGGCAGAGTTCCCACATAAGCTCCTACCCCTTTAGAGCAGCATTCTAACTCACACTGCCTTCAGACACCAAGCAGATTCCTCTAGCTGCTGTCTTCTTTAGCTTACTTTTGCATTCAGAAAGTATTTTTCAGTTGTGCTGCTAAACTTTAATCACTCACTCTCTAGGTTTGAGTTCTCTATAGATTGTTTCTATTGACAGAAAATCCTAGGAGAATTATTATTTTTTATTAGTATTATTATTTCCCAGTAGTGCACACATAACAATAGCTCTCTAGATACAGCAAATAGATATAAGGAAATGAATGGAACCATAACTGCCTCATGTCTTTCATTTAAGACACACTGGGTTTTAGTCCTTTTGTTCAGAAACAAATTTAACAAGAATTTAGGAGCTGTGTGTTGGGGCTGAAATAAATTAGGTGAATAGCAGGAGAGGGAAACTTGCTATGACTTCAAAGTACAATCAACACAACGATGGGACTTCATGGAATAAGAAAACTAAGACTGAATTTAATACAAATGGCTCCATTGTTATCAAAGGTTCTGTACAAGCTCTAATGATAATTCAATTGCATTGTTCATTGGGGAGAAGGTAGATGAAGATCATTTAATGTTTTATAATTAGCAAAAATATTTCATCCTGGCTGCAATTTACCTTGTGTGAGGGAACAGGAGTGGTGTCAAAAGCAGGCTGCAGGTAGCTGTGGCTGTGTGGACAGACCCATGTTCTGCTTAAGGACACACCAGGGCAAACACTGTGCAGGGGCAATGGATACCATCAACTGGAAAATTCTTGTCAAGATTTCTACATTGTTCCCCTCATGTTTCCCCTTTACATAATGGATGGGAATGCTGGAACATTTTGTTTCTGATAAGGCTGAGATGAGAATAAGCACTTCTCCCACATACCTTAAAATATTGTTTTTCTATTCCAAAGTGAACACTTCCAACTTATTTAGAAAGTTAGGGGGGTGCTGAAGTGGATTAAAAAGCAGGACAAGTTCCAAGCCCTGCCTTGAATGAGATGGCTCCGAACTTGAGGAGAATGACAAGGAAAGCCTGGTATCCCAGCAGAAATGCAGCAGAAGATACCATCCCATGCAACTGCTATGCCTTAACCTCCTGGAGTGACAGCTACCCCACCTTCACCGCCTGGAAGGCACTGCCTGGCATTTCCTCACTCACAGGTTGGTGGTACCGTTTGTTCTGGGCACCAACAGGAGCGGTGCTGGTGCACCAGGTGGGCAAGGAGCAGCTGGGATGCTCTCCCATGGTTCACCAACACAAGTGGCCATCCTCAGTGCCTGCACTGCTCCAGGGACTAGATCACACTCAGAACCAGAGCGAGTCAAACACATCCTCGGTGAGATTGCCAAAAAGAGAGGCGGATCCAAGTGCAGATTTCCTTTCACATCTCACAACAAACCACACAGAAAATTCAGAAAGCCCTTTAGACCTCAAGGCACGTATTTGAAAATCTTTCAAGTAGGACTATGAACAGCAGTGCAAGTTCTACTCTCCAGAAGGAGCTATGCACTATGAAGACAGAAGGTCTCCTGCCAAAATACTGGCTAGAAAGAAGGTACTTGTGGGTTAATGTGGGTGTTGGCAGATCTGCACAAGAAGCAAGCCAAGCTGTGTTTCACTTTCACAAGTTAAAGAAGTTGGAATGAATGGGGGAAAGGGGGGGGAGGAACATTAAAAAAAAAAAAATAAATCAATTGGAATGGGAGAAATCACCTCTGAAAGAAGCCAAGAGTCAGCCACTGATAAGTGCTGTTGTAATTCTTGGTCATCCCAGAGACTCCCAACCCCCTTGAGATGGTAACTGCAGGATTTGAAGCTGCCTCTTTATGCCTTTTATAACACATCAACCCATCTAAAATCATCCCTTTGCCACCAGCTGCCAACACCAACTTAAAAAAAGAAAACCCAACAAAGAAGCAATGCCACAGTGCAGGCTCCTGCAGGCAGGCATGCAAAAGCTTCAGATGGAAAAAAAATCTGAGGATTTTAAGTGAAACATCTCACACTAGCCCAATTTAAAGAGTTAGCAAACATTATCCCACCTAAGGTAACTGCCCACTTGAGGGCTCCTCATCCTGAAGTAGAAGATATACTTTAAATGCATAAGCTAAGGTAAGGTAAACACAAATACTTCAGGTAACCTCCTGCAAACCATGAGAATATATATGACATCCTTAGCTCAACAAGAGACAGCCCAGTGCACCTCTGAGCCTCAGATCCAAGCCAGGCTGGAAAGATTCTGCTGTGATTGCATTGTCAGCCACAGGAGAGCTCTTTCCACGTCTCCATGCTCAACAGGAAAAAAGTGCACCACTGGGTTTCCCCACTCTGCACAGGGTGATCCCTTATCCATATTGACTTTTATCACAAAGATACAGAAGGGCCTAAAGGTTTTTGGTTTTCCTTACATCATCCTTCTGAAAACAAAAGCTGTGTCTACAGACTTTTGTTGTCTCCAAGTATTTCACTTCTTTCTGAGCCAGAGACAGCATCTCTCCTGCTGTAAGAGCTTGTACCTCTTCAAGCAGCAAGGCAATTCCCTGCCAAATTCAAGAAGGTAAACAAAATACATCTCTTCTGGCAAAATGTCTCCACACCAATTTGTGTAATTGCCCATGTCCCTGAAGAGGGCCTTGTCCACATGTTATAGCTCTGACTCTAAGCACTGAAATACAATTGAACCAGATGCATCAGACACAACTGGCTGGCTGCTTCATGTCAAACCTCCACAGGTGGTGGCTAAGAAAGGTGTCTCTAATTCAGAGATGCTGAGAACAAATAGCACAGCGTATGCAGGGAAAGTCATAGCATGGAAAACTAAAGGTAAATTATTTTATCTATACATCACCCTCCAGCAGCATCTCTGCCCACTGAGTATGAAATTTTGTGTAACAATGTTAATATCTGCCAGTGTGTTTCCTTATCACCTCCTTCAAGCTTTTTTACCAAGACATAATCGGGCTTTTTTTACTTTTATCCTGGTTTTTATCCTCTATCTGTGTCTTTTGTTACAAGCCAGTAGCTTCTACATCACTTAAGTCCAAAATCCTCAATAGAAAAAAAACCCACATTCTTTCTCAAGAAGCTCATGCTTTTCTCTTTGCATGAAATCAATCCATCTATATGCATTTAAAATAGTGAAATATTCTTTTCCTCCCTCTAGAGCCTCTTTTTAGCTAGTTCTGGAGCTTAAACCACTGTTAAAACCTATTATTCTGACTGCATTGCCCCAATGCACAAATCTTGCCTACTCTCTAGTTTTCCCCTGCCTACTCTTTCATTTCTCTAGGCCATATCCCACAAACTTAGTCTTCTAACACCATCACATTATTCTGCTCCATCAGCAACCTCCATTTGCTGCCCCATCCCTGTATTTTCCAAGGAACATCTCAGCACACCATTTTCCAGACATATCCTCCCCCGTTTTGCCAAGTCTTCTCCCATTCTGCGCTTCACATTACCCCACAAACAGAAAGAAAAGTTTCCTACCTGGTTAGAACACATTTCTCCCCCAGCAGGGGTTCTTCAGCAGTAGAAAACATTTAAGACTACAGTGGGTGTTCTTTCAGTTGAGATAACATCAGCTTTTCAAAGCTTACCAACAACCATGGCTCATCTTCTCTGCTAGCAGAAACTCTTGTCAACAAACGACTTACAGCTGCACAAATTTTTACAAAAAACCCTCAACTTTCTACACTTATCCCTTCTATCTCCTCCTGGTCATTGGTTACTTACTCCTTCCACCTGAGAAGGCAGACAGATGGGTCCCTTTCAAGGGCCTGTTAACACCCTGAGAGCTTCCCTCATCTTCCTTCAAATTGCCTTCTTCTGCTTCTCCCCATACCCTAAAATCAGCGCTCATCAGTGTATTTGTGCCCATCTGTATCTTCTCCATCGTTCTTTTTTTTTTTTTCTTTCAAAAGTTAATTGTTTAGATCACCCAAAACTTTACTAGGCTGCATGGAGCGATTGCATAATCAAGGGATCTGTAAAGCCCATGTTTCTGCTGTTCCTTATCTCCTGTTCACACATTTGAAGCAGCAGCAAACATCCTCCCTTCCTCCTCCCCGAGTGAGGCCACTGCAGTCGAGCTGTGTGACTCCTACATAAAGCGCTCCAGAGCATTCCTTGGAACACTTTCCGCATCTGCCTCCCAGATCATGGCTGGCTGAGACAGTTCTTTAAACCAGGAATCAAATATTTGTCTTTAAAGCATTTCAGTGCTTGAAAAAGAAACACCGTACAGGCTGTGCAATTAACAGGGAGGAGACATCTCCTTGTTCCACACTAAAACGTTGTCAGCGATTAACACCTTCAGGAGGCTCCTGCTTGAGTGGAAATTGCATACCTTGGGATCTCGGCTGTCAATCTGCTCAGCAGGGGAAGGGGTCAGAATGGTGAAAAACAGCTATTTGGACTTTCAAAAATGTTTCTCTTGCAATTCATTCTCCCCTTGAGTTTCTATTCCAGTTAACAAATGGTGAAGCTGGCACACTGATTTTCCACAGAGCTATCCTCAGTAAAAGTGAAGACTGTTTCAGGAACAAAAATCAGTATCTGATATTCAAGTTCCCTTCACCATAACTTTATAGCAGCCAATAAAGATCATCCTATGGCAAAATATTGCCAAGATTAATTTTAAAACCACCTTCCTAGCTACATTCTCCATCTGAATGTGTCAGAAGCTAACATTTCTGTTCTGAGGAATTCAGACAGGCTAATGCTTGGTTTCAGTCCCAAGAGGGAAAGGCAAGATCATTAAATTTCTCATGAGTATCAGTAAAGATATTTCATCTGATGGTCAATAACACCAAAGCATTTTCTTTCTATAATGTCAGAACATTAAACATTAATTTCAAACATGTAGACAGATGTGGCTCTGGGCACTTCAGTGATTATCAGTGATAAAATCCCCACAATTGGTTCAGAAAGGAAAACATTTTAGCCTTTGAGACTACCCTCTGACTTGCCTCCCTGCAGCACCTTCGGTGCCCAAAGAACTGCAGCAAAAATCCTTTGGTGATGCTCTCCATGCAATGAGGAGACTCAACAAAGAGGAGGGAGATGGAAACCAAGTCTCTCCAGGGCAGAAAAATGCAGTTTTGAACACACTGGGCCCATTACCAGAAGTGAAGGTCAAAGAGGACAGAAGAACAAGGAACTTTTACACTTATATATTTAGTATAGACTATGTGTCCACCATGTGCCAAAGCAAGTGAATTGGCAAGGTTTCTTCTTACAGCCTTTGGTACTATCAGAATGCAGACAATCTTGGTTGATATTTTAGTGTAGAAAATGTCACTGAAAATGACATACCTCCAAGAAATTTTCTGATTTTGACTAACTGTATTTTCTAACAGAAAATTCTTCTGACAACTTTCTTCCCCCTGACAACTTTCTTTCCCCATGTGACTCTAATATTAGTATTTAATGACTTATGTGTCTCAGTGGTGTTTTCAATTTACTGACGTCATCTGTCCTGTATAAACTCAACACAGAGGGTGAATATTTAAAACTATGTGTCATCTATCTTCTTCTGTCCTTATTGCGCTACTGCATTCATTCCCCATCCTTCATTATACCATGAATTGCTACAATGAAATATTTTCATCTCCTAGCAGCTGCTACTGCATAATGTATTTCTGGATCATCTGAGTAGCTTGTAAGGAGGAAAATTTACTAATGAGTTAAAATTTAATTTGTCTTGTGTCATCTCAGTTCAGACATCAACCACATAATGCCATATATTTAAGCAGAAGCCCAAAATTACAGACATCTTTTCTCTTCTCTGAACTCTCTCCAGCAACAATCTCCACATATGTCCTTATTTAAACAAAATGATCTCTATATAAAGGATTAAGTGCAGGTTTCCTGAGTAACATTTTATAATGAGATGCTGATTCTTTTGTACAATATTCTCTGCTCCTCATAAAATTTCTCAAAGTATTTCTTTCCCCTACTTGCTCATAAAGGATTGTTTCGCACCAAAATTCACCTTGCCAAATGCAAGATTTCTCAGAAATTACTCTTTCTGCCTGGCCTTTCAATATCTCAGTGTCAGAAAGGAATAGAGATGGATTCTTCTTCTGTTTGCCTCCAAGCAGTTCTTGGCTTAGATGAATACTGATTTGTGAGTGGAAAAGGCACAGACCCCACATTTCTCCTCAGCTACTTCAACCTGAGAGGGTGCCAGATGCAATGGAGATATGGGAAGGATAGAGCAAGGAAGGCAATGAAATTTTATTTTTGTGTGTGTATTTCTCTTTCAGTCTGACAGGAACACTGGTGATCTCTTAACTCTTTTTGGAAGGACCTTTGGAAAGCAGTTTGGGGTTTGTTTTATTTCACTTTAAAGCCATCTCTCAAATGCCTCACTGATAAGCTTGCCTTAAGAACGTGAATAGCACTGAAGAAAATTGGTGCTGCTGTACCCAGGACAGACACTGACAGCAATTTAAAAAGGACATCACAGCCATCAAAGCACAGGCAGATAATCCAGACCACAAACATTTCCTGGAAATACTTGTTACACTTAACATCACTTTAGAAGTTCTAGGAAACATCAGAATCTCTTTGGTTAAGTCTGCTTTAAGAGAAATGTGATGTTCACTTGCACTGAAGCAGTATTTCACCTCCACTGCTTGCCATGGTGGAAACACAGGTGCAATAAAGCTGCCAAGACAGAGCTGCTTCCCGAGCAGGGCTGGAAGGGACCAACACCCAAACAGGACAGGACAGCAGCACAAAGCAATTCTACTTGGGACAAAACTAAAAGGAAAGATTGAGAAGCAAGTGAGAAGCACCAGAAACATTAATTTTCTCTCTCTGAATCCATGCACAGAAACCATCAGTATCAATGTTATTTGCTTCACTGCATCCTGTGCGTGTCCATACCTTGTGTACAGACAAACTTTTACCCTGTAATGACAGCCTGCTTCCTTGTGCCTGTACTTGTCCAGCTGGCAGGCAGGGAGGGATATGGCAGGTGGGGGTAGCAGGACCACCACCTTGGTGCTGAAGCTCCAGGTGTTCCCCTCTGTAAGGAGTGTTATTCCTGCTGGCTGTGAAGCCCCCCACTGCCAACACCTGCAGGATCCCATTTAATTCCTGCAGGATTCCTGCACTAGGAGCTCGTGTTAGACAGCATCAGTGCAGGCTGCCCTGGCTCTTGGGCTGACCTGTTCACCATGCCAGTTATTAGGGCTACGTTAACCCTTGGTTAATGCAGAAGCACTTGCCTTCCCAGCCCTTCTGCATCAAGGGAAAGCATCAGCACTCGCACACCTACACGCAGGTGTGTGCGGCTCTCTCCTCGTGTGTTTACTGTTTATCCTTTTTTTTCAGGAATCACACTCGGAATGTGTTGCTGTCTGAGCTGTCAGTGCCTGTCACATTACAGTGACGATCTCTGCTTTCAGAAGCCAGTTCAGGTTGTTTAATCATCGCTTCCCTCCAAGCTGTCCATCACAGGGTGGTCGCCAGGCAACAGCATCAACAGACAGGGCTGTGGGTGGCTGATGAGGAGGAGGAGGAGGATGCAGCACACGTTTGCAGGGAGGAAGAGCTCACGTTCCCATGGGAGAGGGATGTATGGGAGCTGCTGAGTCTCTCTCTATCTGGTGGGATCCCAGCCTGTAGCATCATGAAAGTAACAGAGATTTCAGCGATTGCTGAACCCAGTGTTTGGGAGGGAAAACAAGATTCCCAGAGCCTGGTGCACGGCACAGGAGTGCACAGCTTGGGTCTCCTTTCCTCAGCTCTCCTAGGGGTCCATGGTCCAACTCCCACCATCACAGGTGGGAGGGCAGGGCCCTGCCATCATGCCCTGGCCATGGCCACAAGTATCAGGCTGGGGTATCAGACAGCTGGAATCAACCACATTCACTCTTCTAGCAACTTTAAAATGAGTTATTTTTGAGTGGATGACAAGTCTGGAGAAAAAAGGAAGACCACATGGCATCTTACAAAAGTTGAAAATAAAATGGAAGGCAACGCCAATCTGGAAGCTTTTCATCCAAAAGATGAGCTGGAGAATATTTTCATTTATTTTTGTTTTATGTTTTTGTTTTCAAGGATACACAATTAAACAGTCATTTCTTACTGAATCAAACACACGGATCTGCATCAAAGCATCCTTCAGTTACAACAGCCTAAATATTTACTCCTAAACTTCATCAGCTCATCTGTACCGACACAAGGTCACCAGATCCAGGCTAAGTCCAGATCTATGTAGGCCAGATCTATTCTCATCTCTAGCCCAGGTTCTGTCACTCTCAATATATTGAGGGGTGTGTGGAAACACCAACACAAATGAAGTGGAGAAGGTGTAGTGCAGACCTCCCCCTGGATCAATCCTCAGCCAGAGCAACATCTCAGGGAGTAATCACTCCCCAAATTTTCTAATGTGGTGGCATTTCACCATGGACCTGTGAAATTAAGTTTAATGTATCTCCTGTTTCACTGGTATGTCTCTTAATAAGCTGTTTAGCCTGTCCATTTAAAAAAACCAAAACAACTATTCTAAAGTTTCCATCAAAGTAAGATCCCCCTTTTATTTGCAGATAACCATTTCCAAAATTTGATTATGATTCCAAGAATGATTAATTTAAAGATATTGTCTTTCATCTACAGGAATGTATTTTTTCTTGGAAAA